TCTCATTAAATTGGGTGCTACTATAAAAAAAAAGAAAGGAAAGGAGCTTAACGAGCTTTATATCGATCTGGCAAAACAAGAACGTTTACATAAACTTACCATTGACCACAAAATTTTGGAGGTTATTAAAGAGATCAGGGAAAGAATATTAATAAGAACTCAAGAAAAGATTAATAAAGCTATGTTAATATTAAAACAGAGATGGTACTACGGTAATAATAAAACAGGGAAAAATCTCTCAAACAAATTAAAAAACAAAAATAAACTACAATCTATAAACTATATAACAGTCGGAAGTAAAAAAATGCTCTCTCCAACTCAAATAGCTAAAGCATTCGAAGACTATTATAAAAGTCTATATAATATAAAATATAATGAGCCACCTGAGGGTGAAACAAAACAGTTTTTGGATAAATTGAGCTTACCAAAAATATCAATGGAGAAATTAAGTCAACTAAATGCTCCATTTTCTATTCAGGAGATCAGCAATACTATCAAAGCATTAACAGCAGGCAAAGCACCAGGCCCAGATGGCTTTTCTTCAATTTTTTATAAAAAATTAAGTGATATAATCTCACCATACATATTAAGAACATTTGAAGATTTCGCTAATCATAAAGCCATTCCAACAGAATTATTTCAGGCTTCTATAATACCAATCCCTAAGATAGATAAGGATCCATCATACACTTCGAACTATAGACCAATCTCCCTTATCAATTTGGATATCAAAGTTTTTTCCAGAATTTTGGCAGATAGACTTAAACAAAACATACCTAATATAGTACATTTAGATCAGACCGGATTTGTAGAAGGTAGGGGTACATCTGATAACATTAGGAAACTATTGAATGTCTTATATCATGCGAACCAAAGCTCGTCTCCTTTTGCTATGGTTACCCTTGATGCCGAGAAGGCTTTCGATCGGGTTAACTGGAAGTATCTGGAGGAAGTATTGAGGGCCTTCGGCATCGAGGGTTTCTTTAAGGAGTGTACAATGGCATTATATAAAGATCCACAAGCTAAAGTATCAGGATATATGTTCCAATCAAACTGGTTTCCTGTTAGAAACGGGACGCGACAGGGATGCCCTTTGGCACCCCTGTTATATATCCTCTCTATAGAGCCGTTGGCAGTCGCGATTAGACAGAATGAAGACATCAGCGGGCTAAAAGTGAATAGGTTGGAGAATAAAATTGCACTTTATGCAGATGATGTCTTATTGACCCTCGCAGACCCTATTAGATCTATTCCAGCTGTATTTCGGCTCATAAATATGTATGGTAAACACTCAGGTTATAAAATAAATATAAAGAAAACACAAATTCTGATAAAAGGTTTAAGTGGATCTGAGGTAGATAAACTCAAAACAGATTTCAAATGTGACTGGGAAGTAAGGAAAATAAATTACTTAGGAGTAAAATTATCGCTAGATTATAGAGAAATTGGAGAACTTAACTATACAGATATCGCTATCCAATTTAGGAACACCTTAAAAAACTGGAAGGGATTAGAACTCTCTTGGTTGGGAAGGATTGAAGCAGTAAACTCCTATCTTCTCCCTAAGTTGACATTTTTATTTGGTAATCTCCCACTGAGGGTGTCATGCCAGACGATACGTGGTCTTCAAAGACAAGTATCAAATTATATTTGGCAAGAGAAGAGACCTAGAGTGTCTTTGGAAATTCTACAGAGAGACTGGAAAGAAGGGGGGATTTGCTTCCCAGACTTACAGAAATTATATAAGAATAATATGGTTGCACATTTAATTAAGTGTGATAACTTCACAAAGTCCAGACCAAATTGGTTGGACATTGAAAAAGCAGATCTCTGCGATATAGAACCTTTATTTCTTTGGTGGTGCGATAGTGAATCTCTAAAAAATATAAGATCTAGTAATCCGATGAATAAAACAATGATTTACATCGTTAAGTACTTGAAAAAAAAATATGGTACAAAACATATTTCATTAAATGCCCCATTAATAAGCTTAAAATATTACATAAAGGATATAAATATCCAAGAATGGGTACACTGTGGAATAGTAAGAATAGCGGATCTTGTAAATAATAATAAAATACTGCCATTCCCCATACTTCAGTCTGAATATAACCTTCCTTCGAAGGAAATATTTAACTATTTAAGAATAAAATCCTTTACTATGGGAAAAGTTCTTTCGGAAACTTTTCCAATAGATCAGTTCATAGAATACCATTATAAAAAAAAGATTGTATCTAGATTCAATCAATTTTTAAGAAGCCAAAGGCAAATAGATAAAGTGCCAGCAATGAGTAAATGGGAGCAAGAACTTCATTTTTCATCTTCGGTCGAGGATTGGTTATCGGGTCTACAAGCAGTAAAAAGATATTTACACGGGGTGAATATACAGGAAGTATACTTTAAATTAGTATACCGTTGGTATTTGGTCCCTACCCGTCTTCATAGATTTCAACCCACACTTCTACCAGATTGTTGGAGATGTGGTAGGGAGTTAGGCTCATTCTCCCACATCTGGTGGGAATGTGAGGAGTTGAAACCTATGAAATTAATCTTAGCGGAACTGATGGGTTTTATGTTCGGAACTCAGACTGTGATTACGCCTCAAATGTTTTTGTTTCATTTAGACCTACCAAAAAGTAATATAAAACTAAAAATCCTTACGATCCATATTTGTATGGCTATAAAAATAGTTATGGCTAGAAACTGGAGGAAAATGGGTGCGTTAAATTGGCACGATATTTGTACGCAGATAGAATACCAACGTAGCATGGAAGCTGGGATAGCCTCAAACAAGATATCTAGAGATAAGTATAATGAAGTTTGGGTCCCTTGGGTTAGATATACTAACTATAAAACTTAATCCCCCCTGCCCCCTTATAGATAGCCAATAGTAGGTAGCAGTGAAATGCGGCATAGAAAGAATATTGAGTGTATGGAATGTTTACATGGTTGTTGATACAGCAGAAAACTGGCAGATGTATATTTGAAGCACGGCTTTATTGTTATCTATATGTACTATTTTACTGTTAAGCAATTTTTTTTTGCAGTGTTTGAAACTACAGTTGAAAGCTGTATCTGTATTTGAATGAATTTTTATTATAAAATGAAAATAAAGATTATATATATAAAAAAAAAAATAATACCCCAAATGGAAGTATAGACTCATTAAATCCGTCTCTCAAAATTCTACTGTGAATACGGAAAAGGACAGGGATCCTATATGGCACTGTAACTTCATGAAATAGTGTCAAACACATACAATGGGGGTGTCATTTTACTCAGCAGATGTAACTGAACACAAAATAAAAACTTTGTACAGGAATAGCACACACCAACTTTACAAAATATACACGAGAATTTCTCTGTTATAAGTTTGTGTGCCAAAAACCAAAAAGAACACAATTTTACTCCAATATTTAGCAGAGGTTGGCAGTGAAATGGCTACGTAGAAAGTGTCAAAACAACCTTAGGTAAATAGCCCGTGATGTCTACTTTATATAATTATATACTTTTGTGTGGCAATTTTGTTTTCTTTTATGGCTATTAAGCTTACAAGACAAACATACCAAATTCTAAAATCTATATATATGCTTATTTATTATAAAAAATACAGAAAACTGCAAAAAATGTAAAAATGTTGTGTTTTTTTACAGTTTTTGCAATAATAATGTGTGCACAATTAGTGCAGGTTAAGGAAAGTAATTAAAAATAAATTCATTTAGTTGTTCTGATTTACAGAATATATAATGTGTCTAGGATTTTAATTTTTTTTTGGTAGTTACAGGTCACAAAGCACAAGGAGTAAAATAAACTTTTAATGTGGAGCGATTTTAGAATTTGGTATGTTTGTCTTGTAAGCTTAATAGCCATAAAAGAAAACTATATATATATATATATATATACATATATATATATATATATATATATATATATATATATATATATGTTACATCAAATTAAAGCCCTTTCTGTCCTTTAAAAAACGGTATATAATATGTGTCGGTGCAATAAATTAGTAAAATGCAAATTGCAGTTGAACGCAAACAGCAAAAAATGCTGTTGTCATTAAGTGAAAGACATGCTTTTGAAGCTCTGTCCTTAAGGGGTTAAAGACCAGCAAGTTTGGGCCTCTTTGTTGTGGTATTTATTTCCAGTGTGTTGCTGTGATTGTTTGTTTTTTTATTGTCAATTGTGACTTGACTTGGTTTCTCCTCCCATCCTCACTATGTTAAGCATTTATACTACATTTAGTGATCCTCACTCGTTTAAGCATTTACACAACCTCACGTAAAAATAATATAGGCTCTAGATGATTTCTAATGTTTCATTCAGTGTGAGTTGACCAAGTCAAAAGTGTCTTTAAAAGACTTAGGGAAATGGGCCAAAATCCTTGGCCTTCGTTATTTACTTACCCACATTCATAGACGTTAGTATATGATCATTGCCTTATACCAACTTCTACAATATATGTTCTCCCAATGCCAACTGATTCACACACTTG